GAGTTTTCGGGGCACCCTTTCCCTGAGCACTGGAGGTTTTTAAGAAGAGGCTGGACGGTACTACAGGTCCTCCTGCTCGAGCAGGGGGCTGGACTAGAGGACCTCCAAGGTCCCTCCCAGCTCCATTCTCTTCTGTTCCAAAATCCCAGCAGGTGCACCGCCGCTTCGACGCTCTGCCCAGCATATCTTGGAGGGGGGGGAGGAGGGGAGACTTTCCCCAACTTTTTTGCCCTCCTGGGGGGGGGGGTTTCCTCCCAGCCAGCTTTCCAGCCTGGGCCGCCCCCTCCAGTCCAGTCCAGCCCCCACCCCCCGTCCTTGCCAGGCAGCCCCACTTTTCAGGCTGGCTTTTTTTTGGGGGGGGGGCTCCAGGAAGAGGCCCCTCTTGCAAGGGAGGGGGGCTTGAGAAGAGATGCCAGCCCCCCCCCCCCCGCACAAGCTCAGCCCCTCCGCGGCCTCCCTGGCAGGGTCGTCGTGGCGCGGGAGGCGGAGGGAGGGAGCCCTCCCCCAGCCCCAATGCAAAGCCGGACCCCGGCCCACCTGGCAGGGCCGGCCGGAGGATGCCACAAGGGGGGTGAGAGGGGAGGGGAGGAGGGGGACCCCCGACCCACGCGCGAGCGCCGGGGCGCCTCACCGGTCAGCCCTCCGCCGCCGCCGCCGCCGCCCTCCGGACCGGAGCCGCGGCGCCGCTGCAGCACGAAGAAGCGGTTGCATCGCTCCTGCACCCAGAGCCGCAGCGCGCTCTTCAGCAGCACCTCCTCGGGCTTCAGCCACATCCCGCCGCCGCCGCCGCCGCTGCCCAGCCCGGGCTCAGCTGGAGGGGGCGGGGGCCGGGCCCCTGCCCGCCCGCGGCGCTCGCCGGGAAATGTAGTGCAGGCGGCGCTTCCGCTGGGCGCCTTCCCAGGCGGAGGAGGCACGCACTACAAGCCCCGGCGAGCCCTGCGCGGGGAGGGGGGGGCGGGCTGGGATCCGCCCCCTGGGCGGCTGGGGGGCGGGGCTAGGGAGAAGATGGACAGGTAGGGAGGCTGGGACGAGGCTGAGCTGGGGAACAGAGAGAGAGAGAGAGAGAGAGAGAGAGAGGCTTCACTCCCAGAATTCCCCAGCATGCATGCGCCTTTAAAGGTAGGGGTGTGTGTGTGTGTGTGTGTGTGGCTTCACTCCCAGAATTCCCCAGCCAGCATCCATGCCGGTATATCATGTGAAGGATGGGGGGGGGCTTTAAGTCCCAATATTTTCTAGCCTGGGTTCCTCTTGAAGATGGGTGGACTTCTACTCCCAGAATTCCCCAGCCAGCATGCACGCATGCATGTATGCATGCTGGGGAATTCTGGGAGTAGAAGTCCACCCATCTTCAAAGTGACCCCCCAGCCCTTTATTCCTGAGGATCGCAGGGATTTGGGGGTGTCACCATCTGTTTTGGCAGTAATCCAGCTCTCTTCTTTTTTCAGAGATTTCTTTCATGCCGACCATCTCATTTGCTCTAAAGCTAGTCCTCAAGTTACGACGGCCCTTTGGGACCAGGAATTCCGTGGCTAAGCAATGCGGCTGAAAAACGCTCCGTCACATTCGTATTTGAAGAGTGTTTTACTCTTGTTTTAGATATGTGGTTGTTTAACCTTGTATTTTTTTTTCTCACAGTGCGCAGCAAACAAATGTAAGACATAATAACCACACAACATTGTGACCTCATCGCTTAGCAACAGCAACCCCAGGAGTCCTGGTTGCCGTCGTAACCCCAGGACTGCGCAGTTCATTAAGCGGGAAGAGGCGGGAGTCAGAGATAGGAGTGGGAGAAATTTGCAACCTCCTGCTGCCTCGGAAACCATGTTCACATATCTGTGGGTGCAGGCAACACCCAGGATTTGGGGGACCGGTCTTCAGAATCGCTTGTTCAGCATCCTTGCACGTCTTTCCTTTCGGCTATACCAGGGGTAGTCAACCTTGGCTCTTTTATGACTCGTGGACTTCAATTCCCAGAATTCCTGAGCCAGCTTAGCTGGCTCAGGAATTCTGGGAGTTGAAGTCCACGAGTCATAAAAGAGCCAAGGTTGACTACCCCTGGGCTATACACTCTTAAGGAAGTGGGCTGGTTCACTACCTTAATTAGGATGGAGAAAGCTTAGGAATTGCACCACTGTTTCTTGTAAAAAAAATATATATATTTTTGGGCCTAAGAGATATCCTCGTTTAAAAATATTAAAAATACAAAGGTGCTCAATTAAGTCACATGACTTCTTTGCACAGGTGGCTGGGAGAAATCCATTCTTTCTCCAAGCAAACTCGTAGATCTTTTTAAATCCTATCATTTTACTTCTGGGTGCTTTGAGGCAGGACAGATTTATGAAATCGGCTCAGAGCAATAGGAGCGAAGGACTTAAGCACCAGGCAGCCACGTTTACAACTTTTCCTCTCCTCCTTTTGAATGTAGGCAAAGTCACCACCCAGCCAAACTATTAAATCTTTCTGCTTTTGCTGACTTTTGTTTAATATACAGTATAAGGCAGAACTTCATAGTGCCTCAGAGTATTTGAGATCCGATAAAAAAACCCTCTTCTTGAAGATATTTATAACGATTTTCTTTTTCACTCTTCTTTTACATTATACTAGGATGCTAATGGGGAAGCGGTTTCCGTGATCAATCAGGAAATTAAAACATTTCTGATCAGCCACCATTCTGCCTTAAACGAGAAGTGTCATATGCACCCAAATCTGCAGCTATTTGGACAATTGTCCCCAAAACTTGAGGTTTTTTTGTTGTTTTTTTTTGGAA